ACAGGTCCTACGAGTCCCCTGGCTACCACAGGTCCTAACGAGTCCCCTGGCTACCACAGGTCCTACGAGTCCCCTGGCTACCACAGGTCCTACGAGTCCCCTGGCTACCACAGGTCCTACGAGTCCCCTGGCTACCACAGGTCCTACGAGTCCCCTGGCTACCACAGGTCCTACGAGTCCCCTGGCTACCACAGGTCCTACGAGTCCCCTGGCTACCACAGGTCCTACGAGTCCCCTGGCTACCACAGGTCCTACGAGTCCCCTGGCTACCACAGGTCCTACGAGTCCCCTGGCTACCACAGGTCCTACGAGTCCCCTGGCTACCACAGGTCCTACGAGTCCCCTGGCTACCACAGGTCCTACGAGTCCCCTGGCTACCACAGGTCCTACGAGTCCCCTGGCTACCACAGGTCCTACGAGTCCCCTGGCTACCACAGGTCCTACGAGTCCCCTGGCTACCACAGGTCCTACGAGTCCCTGGCTACCACAGGTCCTACGAGTCCCCTGGCTACCACAGGTCCTACGAGTCCCCTGGCTACCACAGGTCCTACGAGTCCCCTGGCTACCACAGGTCCTACGAGTCCCCTGGCTACCACAGGTCCTACGAGTCCCCTGGCTACCACAGGTCCTACGAGTCCCCTGGCTACCACATCTCATATGTTATATGTTATGAGGCATGTTTATTATATAATTTTGAAAAAATTTAGATGGATTAATGGAAATGTCTATATTAACTTAATATACGACATTTAATGGGCCCAAGAGATTACGTATTACGTCGAGTAGAGAGAGACTGTGATTTTAATGTGTACCTGCATGCCAGCACAGTGTGTAAGTATATTTAGGTACAGGTACACATAAGTATAATTATCAGAGTACATATAAAATGTGCAATAACTTTAAAACACTTGAAATTTTGGAAAGTTTCCAGTCATGATAGAGAGATGTGCTCACGGTGAATGTAAACAAACTGGGTGGGGCGCTCCGTATTTGAAAGACCGCTCGCCATATAGCAAGTTTTGGTCATAATTTGAAATTACCGAGTTAGCAGAACACCATAATGCAAAACGCCGTAAAGCGGGGCCCTACTGTATATGAATGGTGTATACTGTAGGGTGGTTCAGAACTTCAAACATTGATCATGGCAGTACCACAAGATGATCCCTTCACTTGCTCATTTACTTACTGTGCTTTCTACACTCTACATTCTTTCTACACTACACTAACACATTCAACATATTTGTAAATAAAGCTAGGGGTAAGTGAATGACTCTTAGCGGCACAGCAATGTGTAGTTATTGAAATCAACAAGTACTAGCCTTCTTGTATGGGCTTTTAGCTATTTTGCAAAAAATCTTCAGCAGTCATTTAGCAAAAACATCACAGTAGATCTTGTCTTCATGGAGAGAGTGCGAGAGTGAGAGTGCGAGAGTGAGAGTGCGAGAGTGAGAGTGCGAGAGTGAGAGTGCGAGAGTGAGAGTGCGAGAGTGAGAGTGCGAGAGTGAGAGTGCGAGAGTGAGAGTGCGAGAGTGAGAGTGCGAGAGTGAGAGTGCGAGAGTGAGAGTGCGAGAGTGAGAGTGCGAGAGTGAGAGTGCGAGAGTGAGAGTGCGAGAGTGAGAGTGCGAGAGTGAGTGCGAGAGTAGGCGAGAGTGAGAGTGCGAGAGTGAGAGTGCGAGAGTGAGAGTGCGAGAGTGAGAGTGCGAGAGTGAGAGTGCGAGAGTGAGAGTGCGAGAGTGAGAGTGCGAGAGTGAGAGTGCGAGAGTGAGAGTGCGAGAGTGAGAGTGCGAGAGTGAGAGTGCGAGAGTGAGAGTGCGGAGTGAGAGTGCGAGAGGAGAGTGCGAGAGTGAGAGTGCGAGAGTGAGAGTGCGAGAGGGAGATGCGAGAGTGAGAGTGCGAGAGTGAGAGTGCGAGAGTGAGAGTGCGAGAGTGAGAGTGCGAGAGTGAGAGTGCGAGTGCGAGAGGAGTGCGAGATGCGAGTGCGAGAGTGGCGAGTGCAGAGAGTGGCGAGAGCGAGAGTGCGAGGCGCGAGTGCGAGAGTGCGCGAGTTGCGCGAGTGCGGAGTGCGGAGTGCGCGAGTGCGAGAGGCGAGTGCGAGAGTGCGCGAGTGCGAGTGCGAGAGTGCGAGAGTGCGCGAGTGCGCGAGTGCGCGAGTGCGCGAGTGCGCGAGTGCGAGAGTGCGCGAGTGCGAGAGTGCGCGAGTGCGAGAGTGCGCGAGTGCGAGTGCGAGAGTGCGAGTGCGAGTGCGCGAGTGCGCGAGTGCGCGAGTGCGCGAGTGCGCGAGTGCGCGAGTGCGCGAGTGCGCGAGTGCGAGAGTGCGAGAGTGCGAGAGTGCGCGAGTGCGCGAGTGCGCGAGTGCGCGAGTGCGAGTGCGGAGTGCGAGAGTGCGCGAGTGCGCGAGTGCGAGAGTGCGAGAGTGCGAGAGTGCGAGAGCGAGAGCGCGAGAGCGCGAGAGCGCGAGAGCGCGAGAGCGCGAGAGCGCGAGAGCGCGAGAGCGCGAGCGCGAGAGCGCGAGAGCGCGAGAGCGAGAGCGCGAGAGCGAGAGCGCGAGTGCGAGAGAGTGCGCGAGTGCAAGAGAGAGAGAGCGCGCGCGCGCACGAGAGTGTGAGTGCGAGAGTGCGCGAGAGTGCAAGAGAGAGAGTGCGAGTGCGAGAGTGAGTGTGTGCGAGTGTGTGCGTGCGTGTACGTATGTACATGTACTAACCTAATTGTGGTTGCAGGGGTCAAGACTCAGCTCCTGGCACCGCCACTTCACTGAATGCTACTAGGTCCTCTCTCTCTCCCTCTGCTCCATGAGCTTTATCATACCTCATCTTAAAGCTATGTATGGTTCCTGCCTCCACTACCTCACTTGCTAGGCTGTTCCACTTCCTGACTATGACTGAAAAAATACTTCCTGACATCCCTATGACTCATCTGGGTCTTCAACTTCCAATTGTGGCCCCTTGTGTCTGTGTCCCCTCTCTGGAACATCCTGTCTCTGTCCACCTTGTCTATTCCATGCAGTATTTTGTATGTTGTTATCATGTCTTCCCTAACGATCCTGTCTTCCAGTGTCGTCAGGCTGATTTCCCTCAACCTTTCTTCGTAGGACATTCCCCTTAGCTCTGGAACTAACCTTGTCGCAAACCTTTGCACTTTATCTAATTTCTTGACGTGCTTGATCAAGTGTGGGTTCCAAACAGGTACTTCATACTCCAATATGGGCCTGATGTACATGGTGTACAGTGTCTTGAACGATTCCTTACTTAGGTATCGGAATGCTATTCTCAGGTTTGCCAGGCGCCAGTTTAGTGTGTTCGTGTGTACACTCGCCTAGTTGAGGTTGCAGGGGTCGAGTCCTAGCTCCTGGCCCTGCCTCTTCACTGGTCGCTACTAGGTCACTCTCCCTGAACCGTGAGCTTTATCATACCTCTGCTTAAAGCTATGTATGGATCCTGCCTCCACTACATCGCTTCCCAAACTGTTCCACTTCCTGACTACTCTATGGCTGAAGAAATGCTTCCTAACATCCCTGTGATTCATCTGTGTCTTCAACTTCCAACTGTGTCCCCTTGTTGCTGTGTCCCATCTCTGGAACATCCTGTCATTGTCCACCTTGTCAATTCCTCTCAGTATTTTGTATGTCATTATCATGTCCCCCCTATCTCTCCTGTCCTCCAGTGTCATCAGGTCGATTTCCCTTAACCTCTCCTCATAGGACATACCCCTTAGCTCTGGGACTAGTCTTGTCGCAAACCTTTGCATTTGCACGTGTGTGTGTGTGTGTGTGTACGTGTGTGTACGTGTGTGTGTGTACGTGTACGTGCATGCTTGTTTCTTTTTTTTTTAACTGCTCAGTTGATTATTTTTAACCCTTTCAGGGTCGGCAGGCCCTCTCCTAAACTTGTTCTCAGGGTCGAAAATTTTTCGGAAAAAGATTTTATTTTTTCTTATGGAAAGATAGAGAATCTTTTCCCAATCATATTGACACCAAAAGTTTGAAATTTGATGGAAAACGTATGGAATTATGCCCTTGTGAAGTTAGCAGTCTCGACGATGTTTACACATTGGTGATTTCGCCCACTTTGAGCCCTATTTTCGGCCAATTCCAGTGTACCAGTAGACAAAAATCATAACTATTTCGCTAGAAATCCATTTTTTCTATCGAATGAATACAAGAAGCCACCCATTTACCGATTTCAACTATCCAATAAAGTGGCCAGAAATTAGCAATTTTGCCAATTTCACACAAATTTCAAAAGATGCCAATTTCCAAATAGGGTCCAGAATAAACAAGACAGACATTCCTGGCACTAAAATAACATTTCCTCTGTTCATTAGTCACGTCCCCAGGCCCCCTCTTACACTTCTTTTGCTTTCCATTTTGAATTTTTGTTCTCACAAAAAATAGAAGATTTACTGTTAGGCAGACTACTGCATTAGTGTAGAAATGGTATAAATAATATCAGCGCACTTGTGAAAGATTATTAGACTCACCAGTTGACGTGTATTGGACGTGTGGCATGATTTGTTTACTTTTGAACTTGGGCAGAAATCGAACATTTCTGCTAATTTGATCTCGATTTCAAGGTACTTTTCATTGTGAAACCAATCAAAATCATCTCAATTTCCGTAATATGTCTTCCGTTCTATAAAATGAGACCAGAAAAACTAGAATACAACCATAAATACCATACGAAAATACAGTGCAAAGTCGCTGTTTTAAACCAAAAACATGGTCAGTTTTTTTTTCTCATTATGCACTGTGTGCTGCAGGATTTTTTTTATACTGTGCACACTGACCACATAGACCCATTCTTTCATATGTAGGCCTACCAGCTTTCGCTAATTTTGAGTTGCTAGTAGACAGAACACAAAAATGAATTTGTATATGCCAGATGTGTTTAAAAAAAAGGACAATTGTTTAATATTATATAATATCTCGTATTGCAGTAAAATGTTATGTTTGTGTGCAAGTGGAGACTATCTGCGGTACCATTCACATAGTTGTTTGTTTGCAGGTATAATGGGTACCTGCCACCTTGTGACAAAGGGAGAAGACGTAGCAAGTTTGTGCTTCACCGGCGTCCAGGTGCAAATGGTGTCAAACCTGCTAGACATTATGTTGTTCGAACACCTCAAAACACACAGGTAAGGTTATGACACTAGTCTGTTTCATGTTGTCGTTTTTCTTTAGACTGTCTAGAAAATGTTCAGCGAGAGTATATTGCAGATCAACCAGGCTGTGATGGATATGTGGGTCAGCAGGTTGCCAGCAATAACAACCTAGTTGACCACGCAAGCATCAGACGAGCCTGACACAAAGCAAGGCTCTGAAAGTATGAGTACTCTTGGTAATGATTGAAGGCATATCAAAGGTATATAAATTGATGGCAGCAACCATCCAAGGAGGTATGATTGTCCTCTCATATTAGTGTGATAAAGGAAATTGGCAAATTAAATGTTATATACACATGAACAAACACAAGAACATACAGTGGACCCCCGGTTAACGATATTTTTTCACTCCAGAAGTATGTTCAGGTGCCAGTACTGACCGAATTTGTTCCCATAAGGAATATTGTGAAGTAGATTAGTCCATTTCAGACCCCCAAACATACACGTACAAACGCACTTACATAAATACACTTACATAATTGGTCACATTCGGAGGTGATCGTTATGCGGGGGTCCACTGTATTAGAAAACATTTCAGTCCTGAGACCTTGATCAATTCTAATATAGATTAAAATGACATATATAGGTGGAGAGTGGGGTGTGAATGACAGTGACCTGAAAAATGACATATTTAATTCATCCCTGTTGCTGGCATTTCGAAACACCATCTCGTGTGTTGTCTTAACCAATTTGTCAATATCAGTTATCAAGTTTTATACAAAATGTTATGTACCCTGGCGGGATTATTGGTGTTTTCTATCTCAGGAACATGTAAGATAACAGGTCAGTCTTAGACATCTCTTATATTGAACATATACTTTACTTTTCTGCATATTTCTTGCTTAGTTTTATTCATGTGAGATTTCCATTACTGTTTAGGCCTGGTCTGAGACCTGGCCTGGCCATGGGGTCAGATGATCTTCAGAACCATTAACAGATAACATAAGGAAGGAGCACTGCAGCATACCTATTGGCCCATGCTAGGCAGTCCAAGTCACCTAGCAACCTGAGCTACTGGCCAAAGCCAGTCACATCCACTTAAGAAGACTGAGCACTGCATCAGACCCACTAGTGCAAGCCAATCAGGTTCAGCTTGCACTCACTCATGTATTTGTCTAACCTATTTTTAAAACTTCGAAAGGTTTTAGCTTCAATGACAGTACCCAATATTTTGTTCCACTCATCCAGAATTCTATTTCCAAGCCAGTGCTTTCCTATATCCTTTCTGAACCTAAACTTTTTCCAACTTGAAACCATTGCTGTGAGTCCTATCTTGGTTAGACACTTTTAGCACATTATTTACATCCTCTGTATTCCTGTTTTCTGTTTATGCACCGCAATCGTATCCCCCCAGTTCTACACCTTTCTAGAGTGTAGATTTAGAGCCCTCAGTCTATCCTCATAGAAAAGATTTCTGATACATGGGATCAACTTTATCATCCTCCTTTGTATGTTTCCTGTGCATTTATATCCATTCTATAATATGGTGACCAGAACTGTACAGCATAATCTAAATGGGGCCTAACCAAAGATATAGTATAAAGTTAAGAACAAACTGAGGAATCCTGTTATTTATATTTTTTTTTATGAAGCCAAGGATTCTGTTTGCTTTATTGCAAACACTTATGCATTGTTGTCTTGATTTTAGATTACTAACTAGAACTCCTAAATCTTTTTCAATTAGTGATATTAAGATCCACATTATTTAGCTTATATGTGGCATGGTTATTTTCCTGTCCAACGCCTAAAACTTTGCATTTGTCTATATTAAATTGCATCCACCACTTCTCCGACTATTCAACATCTTAGCAGAAGATATCAGAAACACAGCTGGGACAAGTGTAGAAGCCTTCAAGAGGAAACTGGACAAGTATCTTCACCAGGTGCCAGATCAACCAGGCTGTGGTAGATATGTGGGGCAGCAGGCCTCCATCAGCAACAGCCTGGTTGACCAGGCAAGCACCAGGCGAGCCTTGCCCATGGCCGGGCTCAGAGAGTAGATTAACTCTCGAAACTCTTCAAATGTATATCAAAGGTACTGCATCAGTCTGTTCAGATCTTCCTGTAACACTAGTGTCCTCGTCAGAATGAATTTAATAGCCTATTTTGGTGTCATCAGCAGACTTGCTGATGTTGCTATTTATACCCTTATTATGTCATTATTATAAATTGTGAACAACAAGGGGCCCAACACTGCCCTGTGGAACACCGCTTGTGACACTTCCCCACTTTGATGTCTCCCCATTTATGCAAACTCTCTGCTGCCTATCTGTCAACCACACCTCTATCCTGGAAAAAATTTCTCCTATTCGGTGTGCCTTAATTTTCCTCAGTAGCCTCTGATGTGGGACTCTTATCAAGAGCATTGCTGAAGTCCATATACACAATATCATATTTATTGGCTCACGAAATTGTAGTGACACGATGGCAAACAAACCATACCATGCTAACCTTCCTATGGTGTAGAAATATACTTAGTTGGATAAATCTTATTGTGGCTAGCTGGTCCAGTGGCTAATGCGATGGTCTGGAGCTTTGAGACTCAATGATCGCGGGTTCTATCCTCGCCCGTGGTATGGTTTGATCATGTGTATTACCATGATCTACCTACTCAAATACCTAGTGTAAAAAGGTTGTAAATTTGTAAGGCAGGAATGCCCCATTGTAAAACTGCTGAGATTCATTAATCAGTTTCTTTCAAGATGGCTACGAATTGCCTTGGCAATTATTATTATTATTATTATTATTATTATTATTATTATTATTATTATTATTAACACACTGGCCGATTCCCACCAAGGCAGGGTGGCCTGAAAAAGAAAAACTTTCATCATCATTCACTCCATTACTGTCTTGCCAGAAGGGTGCTTTACACTACAGTTTTTAAACTGCAACATTAACACCCCTCCTTCAGAGTGCAAGCACTGTACTTCCCATCTCCAGGACTCGAGTCCGGCCTGCCGGTTTCCCTGAATCCCTTCATAAATGTTACTTTGCTCACACTCCAGCAGCACGTCAGGTATTAACCCCTTCAGGGTCCAAGGCCCAAATCTGAAGTGGTGCCCCAGTGTCCAAGAATTTAAAAAAAAAAAATTGTTATTTTTTCTTATGAAATGGTAGAGAATCTTTTTGTGAAGGTAATAAAACAAAAAGTACGAAATTTGATGGAAAATTGACGAAATTATACTCTCGCGAATTTTGATGTGTCAGCGATATTTACGAATCGGCAATTTTGCCGACTTTGACTCCCATTTTAGGCCAATTACATTATTCCAGTCAACCAAATTCTTAGCTATTTCACTAGTACTACTTATATTCTATCGATTGAGCACAAGAAATCGCCAAGTCAACTGTTTCAACTACAAATTAAAGTGATCGGAAATTGTTAATTTGGCCAATTTAACAAAGTTCAAAATATTCCAATTTCAAAATAGGGTCCAGAATAAACAATGTAGGTATTCCTGGAACTAAACTAACATTTCCTCTGTTCATTAGTTACGTTTTGAGGCTTTACAAATAAATTCCATTTTTATTTTTTATTCACATAATGAATTTTTATTCACACCAAAAAATAGAAGATTTACTGTTATGCAATACTGTAATAATGGTATAAATATTATCACCATATTTGTGTATGCATATTAGACCCACCAGCTGGCGTGTATTAGACGTGTGAGGTCGTTTGTTTACTCTTGAATATCGGCAAAAATTTAACATTTCTGCTACTTTGAGCTCAGTTTCAAGCCATTTCCAGTGCGAAAACCAATCAAAATCATCTCTATTTGTGTAATATGTCTTCCATTCTATCAAATGAGACCAAGAAATCGCAAATAGAACTATAAAAAACATAATAAAAAACACTGCAAAGTCGCTGTTTTAATCGAAAAATCATGATTTGTTTTTTCTCATTATACACAGCGTGCTGCAGGATCTGTTTTATGTGGTGCACACATACCACATAGATGTATTCTCTCATATCTAGGCCCAAATGTACCACTCACAGTTTATCAGAGTGAGCTGAGCTCATGACGTAGATCTACGGTTTGGACCCTGAACGTAAAGCCGTAGATCTACGGGACGGACCCTCAAGGGGTTAAAAACCATTTGCCTCCATTCACTCCTATCAAATACGCTCACACATGCCCGCTGGAATTTCAAGCCCCTCGCACACAAAACCTCCTTTACCCCCTCCCTCCAACCTTTCCTAGGCCGACCCCTACCCCGCCTTCCTTCCACTACAGACTGATACACTCTTGAAGTCATTCTGTTTCGCTCCATTCTCTCTACATGTCCAAACCACCTCAACAACCCTTCCTCAGCCCTCTGGACAACAGTTTTGGTAATCCCGCACCTCCTCCTAACTTCCAAACTACGAATTCTCTGCATTATATTCACACCACACATTGCCCTCAGACATGACATCTCCACTGCCTCCAGCCTTCTCCTCGCTGCAACATTCATCACCCATGCTTCACACCCACATAAGAGCGTTGGTAAAACTATACTCCCATACATTCCCCTCTTTGCCTCCAAGGACAAAGTTCTTTGTCTCCACAGACTCCTAAGTGCACCGCTCGCCCTTTTCCCCTCATTAATTCTATGATTCACCTCATCTTTCCTAGACCCATCCGCTGACACGTCCACTCCCAAATATCTGAATACATTCACCTCCTCCATACTCTCTCCCTCCAATCTGATATCCAATCTTTTATCACCTAATCTTTTTATCCTCATAACCTTACTTTTTCCTGTATTCACTTTTAATTTTCTTCTTTTGCATACCCTACCAAATTCATCCACCAACCTCTGCAACTTCTCTTCAGAATCTCCCAAGAGCACAGTGTCATCAGCAAAGAGCAACTGTGACAACTCCCACTTTGTGTGATTCTTTATCTTTTAACTCCACGCCTCTTGCCAAGACCCTCGCATTTACTTCTCTTACAACCCCATCTATAAATACGTATATTAAACAA